CAGTGTCAATCGTAAAGATTACGTTGCACTATAATACAGTAGAAATAAAATATAATATCAGAACCGTAAAGAAATAACAATCCTGAGAAGTGCGATATTATCCCAACGCCAATCAAGTGTAAGTTTTGTCAGAGATTGACTCCGTCGTGTGCACTAGAATGGCGGCTTGGGTTTCCTAGAGACGACAGCAAGTTACAATCACGCTGTACATTCTGCGTCTATCAATAGTTGCTACAAAGGCGACACTCCTTGAATTCAGTCGCAGGGCTTGCGGGACGTGTCCATTGTGATGGACAATGCATGATTGGTCCGGCTGCCCCCTGCGGCATTCAATACAAATAGCCTTGGTAAACTAGAATTCTAGTTTTCGGAATTTACTTTTAGTGGCCAACATAATGCTTTGCGATATTGCATACAATACCCGAAGCGATTTAGTAAAACAATAAATACACAACCTGCCACCTTTGTCAGTTTCGCTTTAAGCGTACCTACTACGTTATTACTAGAATTTCTTTAAGTTTATTACTATCTTAGGCATCTGATAAAATCTATACCTGATTTTCCTGTAAAAATTAAATTTAGTGATTACATACAGGAAAATCCAATATATGTTAACTAGTACGTACCGCGGTGTTAACCTATGTAGACAGAACTCATTATAAATAGTGGTTAGCTACCAGTAAAATTATTCATGACAGCGGAAAAACATTCAGAAATAAATGAAGACGCCAAGATATCTTACCTAGATTGCCATATATGTATAAATATTTTATCATTAACACCCACTTGATCAACGCCCCGCAAAACAATTAGTGCCAAATATAACTGGGAAAACAATTGAATTCCAGACGTTCGTTCGTTTGAAGTGTCAAAGCCTGAGTGCTGATCAAAGTCTAGTTTTGTGCTTAGCCGGTCGTAGCAGTGGGTCTATTACTTGAATACCGTTGCTTTGTCTTATTTGCGAACATTCCAAAACATCAAAGCGCGAATAGCTCCATGAGCATGTGTCATATCGATCAGGATATAATGAAGACAACCATTTGTAACTGTGCCCGTGTTGCCAACTACAAATGTATTCAGTACATTCCGACTCATGAATTTTTTCCTCGTAAAATATCCCGGCAAGGTTGACAATGCTACGAGAAAGGAGATGGTTTCCGCGAAGTGTACTCCGTTAAGGTAATGAGTGAGATAAGGTCATAATATATCTGTCAGTGCGTCCGAGGCTCCGGCTGGCGTAATGGTGCGGATGGACCACTTCCACACTTCGGATCTAACTATACTTCGTGGCGTAGCAGGTACACAGTGTCCCGGTGCAGCACTTATTGTGAGTGCAGCCTCTCTGCGACCATTAATTCAGTTACAGTGACATGCACTGCCTCAGTATGCCGTTCTTTGTCGTGGGACAAGCATTAAATACAATTATTCATCCTACAAATCCTTCTACGGATACGTCTACAATATTTTCCAGTGAAACATTAATAGCTACGGGATTTTACGTAAGTCGACCTTGTTTAGTTTACATAATTCATTTGTATAGCACATCTTATTTTATTTCGCCGAAGGCTCGAGGCGTCTTGTTATAAAAAAAAAACTGACAGAAGCTTCAGAAGAAGTATTCAAAATTCTTAAAAGGCCAAAAATTCTGATTAATTTAATTAATACATTTCTCCGTAAATTATGTACCTATAGTTAATTTGGTTTTTGAATGGCGATGGTAAAAAACAGTATGTACGCTTGAGACGATTCCAATTAATATTTTGATTAAAAATTATCATTTTCTCGTATTCAAAATTCTTGATAACTGCGTGCCAATGACCTTTGTTTGTATGTGTGATGATATGTTTGTATAATAGATACGCGATTCTTCGTAGCTGTAATTGCGTTCGCGCCAAGTTCCAAGTTATCATTGACGATTTTATAATTAAATGTTTATCAGTGGCCGTGCGCTTGCGGCGCTAGCTGGAATTCTTGTCGGAAGTGAACCGGTTAGGAATCAAGGTCCATTATCATCTTCTAACTAGCTACATGTAATAATTATAATAATTTCGTTTCTATTTTGTTAATAATTATCTGTAATTAATTAGCTAGATTCTCGGATTGGACTGAAAAGTATTTCTAGAACTAGACTTACCACCTAGCTTTATTGACGAACATACTGACAGACTACTTTTCTATTTTGACGTTTCAAAAGTACCTATTTATGGTTTAGTTGGAATAAATGATTTTGACTTTGTGACGGGGTATCAGTATATTTTTTTACTATAACTTACCTATATGAAACATACCTATAGGAAATCAATTGTAGTTACCTAGTGTTTTATCAAAGAATGAAGAGGAAAAAATGTCAATTTCAATACAAAATATGTTGTAATTGTATGAAAAAATTAAATAATTATTCCATGTTGTTTAATTTCGTTTGAATAATAGTGATAGCGTTCCCATCCGTGTCTTTTGAACACTGATAAAATATGATCGTCATTATTTTGATAAACGTTGTAGTGTAGTATAGATTGCTTATCTACCTACGTATCGCATTGGACAATAATATTTGCGTGTGCACGTCACTCAGTCGAGTCCTTAAGCCTGGCTTTCGGCGAATAGCTATGATTATAATTATGACTAATGCTAATTGAAGGCTTGAAGGTACATCACTCTTATTATCATTCCATTTTTCTAATACGCAAAAACCGACTGTGAGCCATACCAACAAAGCTTTTAGCCTTTTTTATAGGTGAGGGACAAAAAATATAACGTGATCCCAAAGTTTAAAGTTAGTACCTAATTGTTTTTATTATGTAAATAACACAATAATTATGTTAGTATGAGTGTGATTTCGAAACATTTTCAGAATCACAAATTGCCTAGTCGTTATTCTGTGAAATGTTTTGACAGGGTTCCACTGAGGTCATGTCATTTTATCAAGATGACATAGATATTATTGCGAACTTTGTTTTCTAAGGTGTATACCAAACGCTATGGCGTAACAAGGTAGGTACAATTGCCAAAATATAAATAAGGGTAAAGAAAAAAAAACTTATTTTTTTTTCGTCAGTCACGTTCCTTACGGAATGCGTGACGTAGTAACAAAAGCTTGGGTTCAAACAGTAGAACAATACGATACACATTGATCGACAATAAAGCGGATGTTTAAAACATACATCGAATGAACGCTGCTGAACCGACCGGCTAAAGAAGGTTACGAATGTGTATTTAGTAATTACGCTTCAGGATTAGCATATTTGTGCAAATAATCGATTATAACAGGAAAATCGATATTAGAATCGATTTCTACTTTCACTCGTTTATGTTTCTTAGTTTTATGACGGGAGCCACGCCAACATTTACTATGTGTTGGCGTGGCTCCACACCTATTTTACCAATGACACTTTCGCTGCTAAGTTTTTATTCAAAATCATTAAAGTAGCTGTAATTATCTGGTTTAAAATTTATATATTAGGGTATATACATATTACAAATCCTCTCATAATATATTTAAGAATCTTCGTTTTAATACAAATCTTTTCAATGTTTTTGAAAAAAGTATTCGTGACTAGTTGATCAGTTGGTCTAAACAAAAACTCAAAACTTAGTTTTCGAATTCGAATTTTGAATTCCTAATACCTCGGAATGGCTTTATGGTTTTTCGAAATGGTTAATACTCGATGTCATCACAATCTCGATCCTGCTTCACCTTGACCACGAACAACTCCGAACAAGAAGTGATGATGGAAGACCATTAAAGAGCCGAAAGACGTAATTTCATTAAATTTTCTATTATTTACGTCAAGTTAACACGCTGTTACAAAGGGTAATTTTACTAGCAGTTTTTACTGCGAAGACACACTGATGCCTCTTATTTTATTTACATCTCCGAAAAGGTTAACGACATTTAAATCCATCAAACAGATGGGATTCCTTTCTCCGTGATTTTCTTACAAAACTTTTTTTGCTATGATAACGAGCATTTGTATGGCTAATCCAGTGAGAATAGGCTTAAATTAACTTGAACCTAACAGTATATTCTTGCAAAAAGTTGCCAATAAACTGCTTTCTTGCAGGATTAACCACAAATATTGATTTAGTACAAAAAATCGCCATTTCTATTCAATATGGACATTCGTTATAATGTGTGTAACGTATTATAATTGATCGGGTTACATAAATCATCTTATTGTTTGGCAGTCAACTTCTCTGAGGTTATTGGCATCAACGGCCATCGCCCACTGACGGCCTGGCAATGCCACACTAGCATTCGATGAACTGCCGACTAGTGTGTACAAACACTCCTAATTAATTAAATACTAACATTTTTATTTAGAAGGAAAAAAAAATAAAATTATTTTACGTATCAAACATTAATTTTCATCCAATTTCACTTTGAAGAAATGTTCGGTCATCTCGTAAGTTTTTAATTGAAAGTAAATATTGTTATTATTAACTATTAACGTGCTCTATTCCCAGAAGGCAGGTGACGTAGTGTTAATTGTGCTCCTAGTATTAGGAGCACTTGGCCCAGTTTTCAATTGTAATGCATGCTACACGCCTTTGGACGTCGCAAATTAATTATACAATTCGGTTACGATTCCCCGAAGCGGCTCGCCCGTAAATATGTCAAGGTATCAATTAATGATGATCAAATATTTATCGCTACACATATATTTTAGTACCCATCTATATGTCGGCTCTTAAACTCGATCTATAAAAGCTTTTAGCAGTTTCAATTTTTTTTAACTGATTGAGATTGAATCTTCTATGGAAAGTGGGTCGGGCGGCGCAGAAATAGCTGGAGAGCACTTCAATCTGCAAATTGATTTAGAGGCAAAAAATGTATGACAATATAAAAATTATATCCTTGCATCCAAGGTACTTCATTCTTATAACTATAAAACTTCATTGCACCTTTCACATGTAATATTGAAGACTAAAACTTGTTCAAACTTGCGCGTAATTGAACCCAACTATATTTTTTTTTAAGTTTAATTTTTTTTTCTTCCTAGGGCGGATCAAAACCTAGCGGCGGCGATCTGATGGCTGATCTCCACGCGAAGCTGTCAATGCGACGCCGAGGCATCTCCGGGGCGGAACGGGCGGGAGGCTCGGTCCTACACACACTGGCCAGCTACATACCTGAACCTGACCAGTCCTCGCCTGCACGATCATCCAGCGACGACGACTGGGAATGACCGGACACAGTAACTCTACGGACTGTATTAGCTTAGTTATTAATAATAACAGAACGTTATGTAAACACAGGGAAAATCTTATTCTTCTGCTTTTAGACTCTCGCAAATCTAAATGAGAAATGTTTCATTGTGAATATGTAGCAGCGTACGAACTAAAAGCAGCCTGCAGCTCGTTATATCAACCTGGTACATGTTAACAGAGTATAAAGAGGTTCAGGCCGAAGAGACGAACGGCATAATTGAGCAGTTCCATCCCTTTCTCGCAATTTATTCAGAATACAATAATGAACATAATATCAAAGAGAAATTTAAATAAAGTCGCTATCGAAATACACAGCTGTAAGTGTTCAATTCAAAGGGTGCAACTGCACCCTTTGAATTGACGGACAAAAATAAACCATATTCTCTACGAGCCAAGCTCGAGTTTTATACGTACAAGGAAATGAATACGTATTAAGTTTAAAATTTTCAAAGAGTATATTACTATAGTTAAAATGCGAAATGTAAATTTGTACATTTATATATTGGATGTTAACAGTTAAAAAATTCGTCATAACCGCTTATTTCCAAATGCGAGTGTTTCTTCCCCGGTCCCCAATTAGAGGATCTCTTACGATAATTTTCTTGGTACTGCCATCTGTATGTTCTAAGTAAAAACACATTAATTTGTTCTCCGAAAAGTCGTTATCGATTGTTGGTCGTATAATAGGTATATTTATGTCCATTCCGTATTAGGTTTTTATGTTACTCTAATCTTCATACCTTCTCGGAAGCGGTGGGCATACAATTCCGAAGCGATTAGAGCTAACCTTTACATTGACCGCATTCAAATACTAACATCGTTCTAATTTCAGTCTAATCAAACTGTTTTTGTTCGGCTTATGCAACGAACACTATCCGATTGTTTACATTAGTGCACGACTCGTGTTTACTTTAAGTGTTAGAAGTCGTTTCCTAAGATTTTCCTCAATTCCTGGTACGTGCACATATATCGCCGCGTTGTTTGAATAATATTCAAATTTTTGGGAACATTTTCCTTGTTCTAGTGTAATTGTTGATGTTGAATAGCTGTTAGTGCACTATAAATGTCCAGTATCGATGTTTTAGCTCCGTTATTAAATGTCATGTTTACATAACTAAGGGTAGTGTATTATATAGGTACATAATTATGTCCACGCGTGGACTGAAAGCGAAAGGCTGAGTTGATTGATGATAAAACATTGTGACGTCACTAAAATACGGTGAATTAAAAGGATATAAAATAGTGTAGCTAAATGAGTCACTCCTTATTATCGATTCATTATGTAACATAAGTTATTTACGTCATTATTGGCATAAGCGGTCTAGCGGTACAACACCATCGTCACGGCCGTCTACGTCACAACCTAACCAAACGTCGATGTTGCATTCTTATATATTCCTAGTATACTATGTAAATTCAATTCTAATCGAATGCTACTAATCTGATATTTACATATTTTCGAAATAAATCCTATTTACGAAAAATATTTTATAACTTAATGTAAATATTTTCTATTCTATGTATTTATAACGTTTGATCTATTTCAATTATCAACTTGTATTGTCGTTGTATTCGTAAGAAGCCTCACAGGAACAATCTCATTCGTGGACGTGGTCGGCAGCATTCCGTGAAATTTTTAATAGTCAAGTTCTATTTACAAACAGAGATTGGAAAGGGCTCTCGTTCCGGGAGGTTATTACGATAATCGTATTTCTCACTAGTGACTATCTCGCTTTCGTTTCTAGGAAGGTGCTCGGCTACATTAACAGTGTTCCCCGCAAACTATCAACTGGTTCGGCTGATTAGCATTTCCAGAATTGAGAAAAAGCTGCGCGTGACAGCGCTCTACTTGTTGATGGGCTCGGGTTGAACCATTTCTAATTGATACGTTAGCTACAGCTCAACACGAAAATTAAACAAGCGCCCTAGATCTGAACTGAGGTTATATTGTATGAAGTAATAAATTATTCATGGCTGCCAGCGTCATTCCGAGTACTGCTAAATGTGGACTAAAGTTATCGCGGAGGATGGAATCTAGGTTGTTAGGAGCTGATTGTGATGACTGTGCCTACCGCGACAGGTGCTAAATATTTACGACATTAGGAATGGAGTAATGAAGTAAAAGTCTCGACGTCCAAAATGTGTAGTGACTGCATAGCGAGAAGTAATGTAAGGTCAAGCAAGACTGGTTATTGTAGCGGGGACTTGTCGGGGAATGGTAGTGTTGACGTAGTCAGCGATATTTGAGACGCGGCGCCGCGCACTGTGTTTATTGGCAATGAGTGATATTACGCATATCCACATTGCCCATTGCCAATGTCCGCGCGTGCTCCGCTGTACTGTCCGGTGCAGTGCGTCACAATACATTGAATTTCTTCACATTTATGAAATTTATACGTAGCTCAGATTTTACACGCCGTTTCAAGTTTATTGTTATACCTCTATTAAATGTTGTTGTAAACCAATTGGAAATCGTAAATGTTTTAGCACTTTATACTTAGTAATGATTAAAAAATATAATGTAATAATTGGGGAAAAGTCTTAACGTAATAAATACGTACGTACGTAGGTAGGACATGGTTGACATCTAACGGTTTTATGGAAAGAACCCACCCAAACGTTAGCTTACTTGTTGCTATTTTGGTGAACGTTATAAGGTTTTAATTAACTGTTCGTTTCTAAGAATGTAATTATATTATTTGCGATCTAAACGTTCTACAGAGATGTGGAGAATGGCTAAGGGGCTTTGATACGTAAGAACAACGTATAGACGTCTGATTAGAAGCAAAACACGTAAGGTAATTTAGGCAGTAGGCCTATTCTCGTGCTTCACACACCTGTGCTGCATCCCTGCACGTGACGTGGGTTTGTTATTTGAGAATTAGGTAAAATGGCGGCGTGGTGTGTCGCTTCATTTTGTTTTGGAAATCAGTATGCGCCGGAGACGCGTGCTACAAACAGTTATTCATATGAAGTAGCCGTTAACTCCAATTCATTGCGACCACGGATTAGGGACGATCCCAACCAACTAGCCGCTTCGTACCATACACTCAATTAAAACTAATAATAAGTAATAATATTATAACAGATTAGGAAATCAATTCAATTGACGCCTGCTTTAATATTGTACGCAGAATGTTTGTACGACATTTTTCATATGTTAAGCAAACGTTTTAACGAATAGTTAGAGTTGTTAAGTTTCACAATACAGTCAATCAATTAATGTTTATCGGTGGACGTTATAAATAAATTAAAATTGTTATTTTCCGGGACCACGTGGCGGTATTCAAAAAGAATTCATATTCACTTAAAAGATAATTGTCCTTTAACGAGTAATTGGTATAGCGACCTTAATACCTTTATGGAATAATCCCTGTGTTAGTTATGGAAGGCGTGCTTCGAATAATATGTTCGTTATTCACGTTAGAATTTGAATCTTATTGTTAAAGCAATACGATGTACAATAATGTCGTAGTGTTATAGTGTTGGGTTATGAGTTCCGTTGAAATTTATCGTGCCGCTTGCGCTGTTGGTAATACATACTTTATAAAAAATAATTAAAAGTAATATTTGTTTAAGTGTTACTGTTGTACGAAATGGTAGTAAAATCACAATAAAACAAACATCGACATGATCCTTGGTGCTTTAAAAAATGAAATTAAATAGTTTGTAAAACTATTGTAGTCGTGAAGTGTCTGGATAATGTGAATGCTGGATAAGAATTGGTATATCTTTTTAGGGGTGGCAGTGGTTTTACTTATCTTGCAATTATTATAATCGTGGATAGTTTTGGTGTCATAAGGATGGCATTGTTTTCGTCTTCTGATTGAGTTTTGTCTATCTGCATATAATCGTGTCGAGTCTACGTTGTCGTAATATTCCGTAAGAGCTTAAAAGCCGGGTCTTGCCTGTTACACGTCAGACCTCAAGCGATCGTTCTGTGCGATTTCCTATAGTTATAAATTAGGTATGTAAGTGTAAACCCGGATATTGCTTTTCGAACTTGGAACTAGAGTCGATACGAATTGAAAGTTTACTAGCTAACTTCTCAAAGTGCAAACAACGCTTGTTGTTTCAGTCTGTAGCGTGCATAGAGTACACAGCGCTAAAATATAAAATAGTTCAAATTTTACTTGGAAAGTAGTCGAGTCCATTTTATAATAGAATTCATTTTGTATCGATCCTCTTTCAATCGGAAAGTTTGATAATTTAGACAGAATTGCACAGTTACGTCAGAGATTATGTAAAAAAAATATATAAAACGCAGCTGTCCGTGTGTGGGTGCTTTACGTAATGCCATTGTTTTAGCTTATTTTATTATATTAAAGTTAAGTTTTATCCGCCAATATTGTACGTAGGTGTAAAACCGCATAGCATGCAAGCTTAGGGCTATTGCACTATAAAAACAGGTTTTCTAATGAAGAATGTAAAATAAAAACGACATTTTATTACTTAATTTTTATAATTAGGCGATAATATTAAATAGGGCACGGCTGCAGACGTGTCTGTGTGGCGTGTGTTAATTGAATGAGTACCCTCGCGGTCGATGTCTAATGTCTTTAGTTTCACCTCTAATGGTTGCTATTCACAGTGATGTATTGCAAACACAAACAAACATTAAGATAAATGACATCATTTACTAAATGCACGCATAATTAAATTGCAATTCCTCCTAACTATCCGTTTAATTCATTAGAATAAATAATTGAAAAACATGAAACCTGTTTCTTAATGAACCTCCGGCATAGACATCGACCCGACTCTAGAATAAGACTGAAATCACAGATAAATAATATTTTGAAATTAAATCATTTTAAAATCAAATGTAAAAAGGTTGGATGGGTAAGAGTAAGTGCATACGGCCCGCTAACTTGTAAGCAAGCGTTTAAAGAAATCTGAATAGTTATTAAGTTTGAATGGATTCCGACTAACTTGTGTAGCTTATCGGCGAAATAAATTAAAAACTATGTTGATATTATAATGAATTTAACGAAATTATGTATATAGGTATATAGATTTTAATGTAGATGTTTTTAATTGTATAAAAAACTGTTAGTGTAATATTTTATTATGTACGATTGACGGCATTGCACAGTGAGACGTTTTGTTGATCACCCGTTTGTGGGAATGCACCTAAACAAATTTCAAGTGGGTCTTGCATAAAAAGCGTATCGCATCTTGCAACCCTTGCAGGTACATCAACCAATTTCCATCTCTATTGCTTTCAACTTAGCAGTTGTTTTGGCAAAATATTTTTTCTTTTTTTATTCTTGAGTCTATCACATAAATTTCGGAGTTGGTTGATGAAGCTGCAAAAACTCAGATGTGCTATGTTGCGCACTCCAAACGTTTTTATAAACATAACGTGTCAATGGTCAGTGCCGTCCTTAGTGATACTTGCCTTCATAATTTTGTTTAAGTTTTGACTGACTGATTTAAATGTTCACGTGTTATAGTTTATAGTGACTTTTTTACACTCCATACATTTTTTTAAGTCAATGCAAATATTTTTTTTAAACTATTTAGGTACAACAATCAATAGTCAACTACATATTTTTAAGATGGATTAGTGTAATTTGTTTAATGATAACAATGTTAAGTCACTAATTTATTTGCAGCGAATATTTACAGTAGAAATGTTTGTTACTATAGAAGTATATTGTTTGTCCTGTATCGAATCCGTGTAAAGCACTAATCCGTCTCATAGCTGTAACGTGTAAATATAAAGTCGGTATAATGTAACTGTTCACTGGATTGTATCACGTTGTCATTTATACGTACGTTTGTTGTATGTGGATTTTACATGTTACGATGTATGGTATATTCATTCATTAATTATATGTATAATGAAATTTTAAATATCTACAACTACTCAGCAGTTTTATTTAAGTCCCCTCTGAACGCATAACATCTGAAAATATAATTGTAAAAGCAGAAAAAGTGTTTCTTGGTACGAGAAATGATGAGTGTATAATTGAGGGTCACCGACTCCTTTTTACGCATTCTGATTATTTATAACGGCGGGCAGAGCCACCTCGCTAGAAAGCTACGTGTTTCGGGTTTTACACGGCATTGCCCCAGAATAACACCGTCAAGATTTCCTGGTATCACCGCGCCGAGTATTTCGGATCGGAAATAAGGATTCTAGGAAATCGCTGGCCTCAGCCGGCCGCGGCCGCGCGTGGAGGACGCGACGGGCTCGCGTGCCGGTGCCTCTGTGGGTGTGACAAATTGCCTTTTGGCTCCTGCTGTTTTAACCGCCCAATTTAATTGACTAAGGTCAAGATTAGATAGGATTGCTTTTTACTTTATCCTATACTAAGTCCTTGAAATTCTTTATATTAACGATTCACCATTATGAGTCATCATTACTTTCACATGAAAGATATTAATTTAAAAACACACACAATCGAATCAAGAACAACACGAACAGCAACAGTACGACTTTGCGTGTTTCCCTTAAGCCCTTTTTATAATTGAAAATAAGGCATGTTTTCTAATTTCATTTATAAAGCATAGTAACACGCTGATTCTTATAACGGGTTCCGTAAATGCACATAACACAGCACAGCTGTTAACTGTCAAATGAATGTCAAATTGTGTTGTGTTGACAAATGCCAAAAATATTTGCAAGAATGTTATTGTTTCTAGGGAATTATTAGCGAAAAAATATTATTAACGGGTGATTAACTTAAGATTTAGTAGTGACATAGTGATTTATTGAATGATGTGTGCATAGAATTAACTTTAACAATGGCTGCTGCGTTTCAACAGCAGATATTCGCACTCGATGCACGGTTCAATGCGTACAGAGCACCAAACAATCCTAATTTCAGTAAGTAGGGCTAATTGTTTGAGTTTTTTTGCTGAATATTCCTTTGGATTATTGAAACTTTACGTAAAGTCAATGGAAGCTTAGCTATAGATCTGAAATAAAGTATTAAACGCCTTAACGAAATTTTACACTCCTTAAAACTCAAGTTAGTTTGTAACCATACGACCATACGAGAGGTACAAAACTCTAGATCTTAACATGAAATCATTCAATAACATTCAATCCACCAACAAATGCCTACTTAAAAAACGAAAGCTAACATGTTATGTTTATTAATATTTTAGAAACACTATACATTCGACGACGAAGTCAACTGTTGAGAGAGAACGCAAAATTTAAGGTAAAACTACAACAAAATCTTAATAGTCTATTGGTGTAGTTAATTAACTAAATGTTAACTATCTTGGCATACCATTTTATGTCAACCTTTATTTAACCACCTAAACTATACTATTTTTCTGAAAGGAATATGTATAATTATTTTGATTTGATTTACTGAAAGCACAGAATATTACTTAATAAATTGTCGTAAATAAAGTTGAATTTCTGAAATATAGCAAAATTACTATTATGTTGTAGGATATAGAAACTATAAAGAAGTACATAAATGTAAGAAGTCAGTTGCTGCAGCGCCGCTATGGAGTACAGGACAACATCTCAATCAGCTCATCTTCCTCTCGGCCACGATCTAGCAGCAAGGTAACCATGCTTACATATACATAGGCTTACAATAACTTGTTTAATTTGAACCTTATAAACTATGCATGAAGGACATTTTTTTTTAAATTTTGTATACTTAATAAGACAGCACCTTCGTACATAGATATACATACCCACCCAATGATGTACCTAATGTATATAGCACATAGTCCATGCAAATTATGTTATGTTTTCAAATCTATCTATCCATACATAAAAAAACAGGGCAAGGTATGATGTTTGGCGGAGTTGCAGGTGCAAACTCTATGATGTACACATGATCATATGGAGGGCATGGATGGAGCAGGAGAACTGTTCCTTCTGTGGGATGTTCTCAGTCAGTAGGACTGTGTAACTGTCTCTCGCCCCACCCAGGGTAGGAGAGGTTCATTTCATGATATTACCCCAAAAAAATATTTATTTATTAGTCCATAACTTATGGACTATTCACTTTTCCCAAGTAATTACTAATGTAGAAGAACATCTTAACAGTTACCATTTTATAATATAACAAAATACCATACCATATTGATCCAGTTATAATATAAAAAAATAGCACAAAATTAAAATAAAATGACATTCTACAAAACAATCTAATCTTTACCTTGCATTAACATGTTCACTCAATGTTGTAGGCAAGTATTCTGGTGGAGGAGAGTCCCTCCAACTCCAATTCGAAACGGAAGAACGACATGACAATATCAGAGAACTATGCATTCTCTGGAGTACACCATATATTTGATCAGGTAAAATAAGCATAATATTATTTACATATTAATTTCTTTTTTATGTGATAGGATTGCAAACAAGGAGCTGGATTACATGATGGTAAGCAATCAGCGCCGCACGTAGTCACACGCAACAAAGGAGGAGTTATGAGTGCCTTGCCGAGCTTTAGGTCATTAGGGAATTGGACATTTTGGGATTGGGTGATGGGAAGGGCCGGTCAGTTAACTCACACACAAAACACAACGCTGTGGTTGTGTCACGCCTGTTTTCTGTGAGGCCGTGGTATCACTTCAGCCGAGCCGATCCATTGTTCTGGTAAACTTAAAAAGGTCTTCTAAGTTCTTCTAAGTCAAGCGGTCTTAAGAATGACGTCTTGCGGTTTCTCGGGTTGGATGTGTTGGCACTGCAGCCTTAGTTTTAGTTTCTCTTACATGTAGTTTATTTTTCATTTTTTTTTTAAGCTTATAAGTACCTACTTACTAATAATTTACTTTTGTAATTTTAATACATATATACTTTTTTATTTATTTTGTAGCACACAGAACAAGTAAGCGTAGTAAAGTTTGCGAACAACGACCGCTCCAAGTTGTGCTGCGGGTCGGACGATGGTACTGTGTCAATCTGTGACGTCACTGCTACGCCGCCTCGAGTGTCCTTCATACTGGATGGACACACCAAGCCTGTTACTGGTAAGCCAACGATTTATATACACGCTGGCATAGGCTTACAATTTTAATAAAATCTTATACCATCATGGCAGGAATAGCCTTTCACGACAGCTCAGAATTAGGTACCTACAGTAATTCTACTAATATCTAATTGTTATTAAAGTGTTCTAACAATTGAACAACTTGCATTAAGGCATTGTCACAAAAATATAATAAAATAAAAAAATAAGGTCAACAACATGACATACACTTGATACTCTGCAGAAAATAGTCACAATTTTAAGTTGACTTCATAGTAATCTCCATTGCACTTAAATAAACTACATTGTTACTTTTTTATTACCATTTCTCTTTTAAACTTATCATCAAATTAGGTATCAAGAGGAAACAATAAAAATGAAAGTAGCAACCATTCCCTGTGTTACACAATATTTTTTTATAAATATCTATTGTAGCATGAATCATTTCTGAGGCATCCTGTATTTCTAGGAAATTGATAATACATTTCGATGAGTAGCTAGAAATGTGTACGGCGTTTGTTATCAGTATCCTTTTTTATTTTATTAAAATAATAACAAAATAGACTGTGGGAATTCACAGATAAATGTTGAGCCTCGACAACAGCAACAGCAGTGCCTATTCTGCGAAAAACAATTGACCACGAATATATTTGTACACCATTTAACTTTTGAATTTCAGACGTTTACTATGTAAATACTACCAAATTTAATGTTCACATTTTTATAACCTAATTTATTAGGAAAATATTGTTACCTAAAAGTATTTTTTGCACCCAAATTTATATTACTTATGACGTCAAAATTACGACAAGAGAAATTACAAAAAGATATATCGTCGATCATGAAAGTATTGTCTTTAGACTACTTTATTTTAAAAGCCCCTTTTATTAATTTAATTTTTACAAGCTTTAACGTCAAAGTTATAAATCCTCTGAACTTTTAACAGTTAGTAAAACAGGATCCTCACAATTAAAGTCTGGTAAAAAATATATACATATTTGGTGTAGGTTGCGACTGGTCAGCCTCCAACGAGTTGCTGGTGACATGCGCGCTGGACGGAGCGCTCAGCTTGTGGGAGGTGTCAGGCCGCAGACGGCTGCGCGCCGTGCCCGACCAGCTGGGCGCCCCGCTACTGTGCTGCGTGTTCCAACCTGCCAACAACAACATGGTTATTGTATCCTTTACAACAACAATGTCAGCTTAACATGTTGTAATAGATCGGCAAACGAGCAGAAGGATTACCTGATGGTAAGTAATCAGCTCCGCCCATGGATACCCGCAACGGACGAGTTACGAGTGCGTTGCCGACCTTTTAGGGATTTGGAGATTGAGGAGGAATTGGGGGTGAGGAAGGATTGGGCCTCTGATAACCTCACTCACACGGCGAAACAACGCTGTGGTTGTTTCACGCCGGTTTTCTGTGAGGCCGTGGTATCACTCCGGTATAAGTTCACACTTATAAGTTGCGTTGCGTTTAAGGGTGCGTTCAGAAACATACAATTTCACGTACACAACACCTGAAACAACAATTTGTAAATCACACAAAGAGTTGTTCCGTGCGGGAATCGAACCCGCGACACGATGCGCGGTAGCCAGTTGCCCAGCAATCGCGCCAAACATGCAGTGCAGTGCAGCGTGCGTTTCTTCAGAACGGGTCCACTAAACTGCTGTGGTTGTTTCCTCAAAAGACCACTACAGAAGAAACTTGCACAGTTATCACTCAAAATATTATTTTTCACATTGTCTGGACTTTAAAAAATACCGACCTCTGAGTTCTTTTCGGCATTTCTTCTCAGAGTAGTCAGGTAGGAAATACCGGCTTCATCTAGTTTTTTACATAAGTACATATAACTTTATGCTGTTTTATGACCTATTTACATGAGAACACAGGCGAGGTATATTTTTTCCGTGAAGGTGACCAATCAGCGCTGTCAATGGACACCCAACATCAGTGGATTTACAAGTGCGTTGCCTTTTAGGGATGAGGTTAGAGTTTGCAGTCGGAGGTCCATTCCACTCGATGCTTCAGTATATTCGTCATTCGCCGAAGCTCACTGCTCTCAAATCCATAGTGAATAAACAGACTTATTAGGAATAATAAAAAGGCTAACAGCAAATACTACTTTTTTAATAATTTAAGTGTCTACTAGTTAATATTGAATTAGTTAATATTGAAATGATATCCTTGACAAAAGCTTTAGGCTGGCAATGCAAGAGGGATGGTGGAAGTACTGAATATATCAACTGGAATATATCCTAGAGGTGAACTATTTATTATCTATGTTTTTAAAACAAGTACCCATGACTTAATTTAACACAATGATTAATGTAAAAACAAAAGTGTGATAGAAGTTACAAACATGTGTTATTTATAAAAAATATAATAACATAGATACATTTTATACGTTGAAAGAGTATGAACACTTTTATCTCGGGAAATTCTCCTTTTGCTGGAAGTATGAATATGATAGCGACCAAATCGGTCCGATAAGTGTGCAATAGATTTGTAACCTTATGCTATTGCAATAAATTCAAAATTCCAAATCACCTTTTTATTGCTCAGGACCGGACCGCGGCATGGCATGTCCACGATTGATCTTTAATCCCAGTAAAAATACTTACAACCAACAATTTCATTCATAAGTAGGTACTTTTTGTCGATTGTATCGGCCGGACTTGGTACCCACATTCTGGACGCACTGCACCTACAATTTGATCCTTTCTTATTTATTCTTCCAAAGACTGAATATTTAGTGTAAGCTAGACTTAATAAATGTGTAGTGTTTCAAATAAGGACCTGAAAATAACAAGAAATATATGTATTAAGTAGGTGCTAATTTTCCCATACCAAAGATTCCCAGCAGTGTATTCGTATACCTACCTATGGCTAAACTAAAACTATTTTTAACCACAAATTATACGCGTTGCTGTTTATTATATAAATTGATATCATGAGTTAATAATATGTTATACAAATCGGGAAATTACACGTAATTCTTATAATTAGTGAGAAATATTGCAGTGTTGATTTAATTATTAGAATTTAAACTGTACATACGTAAATGGATCCATGTGCACATTGATCTTCTCGGATCAGGAAAATGTTTAATTAAAATGGATTTGAACATAGATTTTGATTATTGACCATTTCTATTGTATGGGGCTGATGCATCTAGCTTTACCTATGAATAAGTAGTTATTAGAAATGATAAGAGGTTTCTTGAAGAAACTTAAAATCTTGAACTCTCATTATCAATCAGATAAACCATTTTATTTCTGAATAATGTCAATAAATTATATTCATGACTGATGAAGTTTTTAATATTGTTGTGTTATATAGTAAACCTTACATTTGCAGATATTAGTCACCATTTTATTATCTTAATGACATTACAGGTGGCAGCAGTATCCTAGGCGGGCGAGTGCTCTCCATAGCTTGCGAGTCCAGCGGCAGAATGTTCTGGGCCGCCAACGACAAAGTAAGTTTTCGCATAAACACTAATTTTAGCAGATTTATACGAAGAAGTCGTAACACGTTGCATACTCTACTCAGAACACCAGTTTACAGAATATTGTTTGTTCAAAATATCAACGGAATGTCATGTTTACTGTAACATACATCAGTTTTTGGAACTAGTGTTGAATATTATTACTTTATGTTTATCATTGTTCGTAAACTTATACCTAGTTTACGAGTACCTAAACACGAACCAACATACCTATAAAATTTTTCGTCAAGTTGTTTTGCAAGATAAAAACATAGAACTAATAATAATTATGATCCTACACTTATGACATGCGCACGTTTAGTGTTTAATACGTAAACTGCCATTGTATTTCATTTTTAGCCGTTTAAATGCTGCACGCATTATATTATAATCTATAATCTTCTTCCATCGATTATATTTGGGAAGCGTACGAGGATCCGAAGCCAACTATGCAGCAGCACTTTAGACAACTTTAATTTACCTAAATGAAATGTGAATGAAATGTCCCGGTTCGTATCGGACTATTGCGGACATTGGAAACAAAAGATAAGGCTATGGGTGTGGGCTGCCTATTGACTGCTGAACTATCGAAGGACCATGGCACCAGCCGAATGTAACTTTTACTCGTAATAATGGCAGGCGGCAATGGACTCGCTTACTCACCAACTAGGCCTTTGGGAATGGTTGCTAGAATTAGCAACAGAGGGACAACGGAAAGTTGAGTGGCTAAAGGGTGAAGAAGTCCAGAGCTTTCTACTCAGATCATCTGTATCTGCCTAAGCATCCTGCATCACTGGCCCACTCGCCGCTTACGAACAGCTTCTACCCTTCGAGCAGGATCACTGCGCTCGCATAATGTTTATTCATTATTACATTCATAATTAGTGCTCATTGTAGCAAACGTTATGCGTCTCTACCATGAGCTAGAACCACAGAACGGTATTAATGGAAACCCCAATTTTCCCATGGTCAGGGTGTGATAGTGAGCTACCGCATGGACAGCGCGGGCGGCGGGCTGAGCAAGCTGCGGCGCTGCATCGTGGGCGGCGCCGTCACCTGCCTCAGCTGGAGCCCGTGGCTCGCGCGCCACCCCGCCCTACTCGTCAGCGCAGCCGATAACTCACTCTATCTCTTCAGGTAATAGACATTGTCGCTATTGCCCCAGTTTTCTTTATTCATTTTGTGTCCATACGACTGTTGAGATAGGCGTCTGAGATTTGATAGTTTATTGCTTTTTTTACATTTTAAATGTGTAATTTGTGCATTGAATCCTGTCACCGTATCAACAGCCTTTCCATATTGTATTCTAACCTCTACAACTTTTGAGTTAAGAACAATCTCATATGTGTGCACGCTACTTGCACCTATGCTTCAAAAATATTATTTTTATAGAGATTCATTTCAGACCCAATTCGCTTTCACCCTATCTTTCAATTATCAAACATTATTTCTATCTAATAATTTTACCCACAGGATAATAGACCGTGAAGGCAATTTGCAACTGAAGAAACGTTTCGAGGTCCTTCATACACAGCACAGCGTGAAGTCCACCTTCTGCCCTATTATGTCGTTCCGGCGCGGAGTTTGCGTTGTCAGCGGTAGCGAGGACTCGTGCGTCTACTTCCTCGACATCGAGGGGCATGCCGAGCACCCTGTCGTCAATAAACTGCAAGGTAATGGCTCAAAGGCTTCACCAAACCCCAAATAAAACTATTGTCTTATTACCGCGATTGAAAAGTTAAGATGAAAGTTAGAATGTCTGGAAAAACCATTAGATAATCTGTCTAGGATTTTAGGCAAACTCGTTTAAACAAAATAATTCTTTAAAACCAATGATAAATAAACGTTCATAAAAAATTGGTTAAGCTTTGTTATACATGGTGAAACTAAAACGAGTTTCTTATACATTCCTTTAGGTCACGCGTCCCCAGTGATTGGGGTCAGCTTTAGTTACGACGAGAGCTTACTGGCGACAAGCGACGTCACGGGGCTGGTCATTATTTGGAGGAGGAGTTAAGCAGACTGGGCTACACGGTGATAACAACAGATCTGATCTAAAAATATTGTATAGAATTATAGTAAGTCAGAGTATTATAAACATTCCTGTACAAATAAAAGCCTTATAATTGAGTCACAAGTTTTATTTAATTATTATTTTTTTCATAGAAATACTTTTAAAAGACTCGACAAAGTCACAATATGAAAAGACTTCCAATGCGTTCACATTCACTAAATACTGCCGACAACTCATACAAATCAATAACAACTTACGATCAATAAATACATAATTAAACTGGACAATTCATTCAAATTAATTCCTTAGTTTTTATATCATAAGCTTGGGTAAACTATCTGCTGAGTAAGATCCACTACAAACAGACTCTACGTTAATCTGATAATTGGAATCTATATTTTTAAAGTTGGAAGTTGATCCCCAGAATAGCCAAGAGAGCCATGAAAGAACTGTTGATTTAGACAACCACCCCTTTTTATTTTGGTCAGGGAGAGTATGAAACAATAAAATTCATGCACAAAGAAAAGGATCAAAATAATGAGATTCCAGATCCTAACATAATAGTTTCTATGAGTTTGTTCTTTCAGAGGGTCGCAGGACGTATGATATGTACAAACAAATAGAAGCATGTTCCCTACTAACGTAAAGTTGTCTCGCTCGGCTCACAATCAACAGCCCGCCACTCGGGACGCTCCCTACGCATTGTAACAAAATGAACATCTATCACTTATTTACATCTGTACATTAACGAAAACATTCTAAAACTGTAAAAATAATGTTCAGAACAATAAACGTGTAGTACAATTAATACAATCAATAAATTTTCATATTCAAAAAGATTTTCTCAATACATAATAACATTAAATTATATTTACAGCAGTAACTAAACAACTAAAACGCGATGATATGGAAATGAGAAGAATTGCACATTAGGTTCACACTTGGACGTATTGCATACTATAGTGACGACGTTATATACTCGTACGCAATGTCGGTCTGTCGCCACGACTTGGTACATCTAACACTACGCTTATCTAATATAAACTTTTACTTAACTAACAATTGGCTTTTTAACCTCAATCCTAGACCGAAACGCTTCAATTTTGACATTTGTTGAGGTTTAAAAGATGGAAGATGCTTACTCACTTGTGCGTAAAGTAATACAGTAATATTATAGGTCGTCACAAACAACATTATTTAGACATTCAGAGAGCTGCGCACGCGCACACGCGCCCCCAGCGGGACATCACACTACGCCACAACTTTGTTCTCGTATCAAAATAATAAAAAACATAATTTTGGTGGGAATCATACAATACTATACATAAAACATATAATTGCCGCGGGCGCGTGCCGCGGGCGCAGCGCGAGCGTATACTAACACTACAACATACGAAATAAGAGTATAAAACGTTACGTATTAACATTTCTAACGAGTACGATCGGCTGCCTGCGTTGTACATCGGTTGTGTGGCAGTCCTACACTTCATTATAAATATAAAATCATTGACAGTTAACTAATTAGTTGGATGTTATTCATAGAGAGTTACGTATGCGTCGGTGTCGCGCGCGTTAACATCCGAACACGTTCAAATATATTTAGAGCAGTAAATGTGAGATTGTTTACTGGCATTAGTGGTACGTGCAACAAAAAGAATCAGCTCGCACGCGACATAACATCAATTAATAAAAACGTGTCAAAAACTCGAGGGACGCGACTGATCTCATAAAATTAGGCTGTTTTTGTAAACATATCAAAGCCTTAACATACGCTATCATGAAAGCGATACACCTATAGATATATTTCATGGCGATTTGTACCTTCGTGTGTGATCCTTGCATTGACCTGAGCAGAACTTGCTCCACTGAATACTGTGCGCTGTCCAACTGGGAAATGCAACGGCGTCTGTAGACTTGCATGTATAATAGTTAATTTGTATGTCAATTTTGATGTATTTTTTTCTTAGAATAGACGACCAAGCGAAATGTTTAGAAAAGATTTTTATTTTAACATTGGCAAGATTGAAAGAGTATAATGTATCAAAAAGCGGATGGCAATATTGTGAACTAGTTTACATTCCCGGCTCGACGGTAATGATGTGGCTATGAATCGATGCCCGTAATTCCGATATGTATATAAATTTTATATCCAGCACGTAATACTTTTTGCTGTTTGTAATACTATTTTACTTCGTAATGGCAATTGTCGTCGACTATTACTGTAGTTCAGACGATTAGTGCGGTTGTCATAACCACGAGAAATACAATCGTTAGTTTGAAATACTTAGTACTGAAAGAAAGTATACATAAGTTGTAAGAGTTCTAACGGAGACTAAATAATGTAATACTCCAAACTAACGCGTCATTCTCTTTGTAACGTAACCTCAAACTTTATTCCACAACAAAGTCGTAGTTACTTCAGATCTATGTTCCTATTTATACAAAACTAGAGCTAATTTGTTTTAATTACGAGACGTTCGTCTTGTTTCGCTCGAGCGTGGCCTTGGAGCTGCTCTCGATGCCGGAGTCCTCGTCCCCGCTGTCCAGCACGGTGCCCTCGCCCTTCACCGCCTCTACCACCTTGGGACTCTCCACCTTCACCTCGGTGCTCTCTTCGACCTCATCCGTTAGTATCAATTTCTGTTCAGGCTCGACCTTGGGCGGACTCTTGCCGAACGTAGAGAACGTGGGCTCGGGTACTGGCAGGTCCTCGCAGTCCTTCTGCAGCGGCAGCGAGGTGGTGACGATGGGCGTGTCGTCGGTCATGACGAGCGGCGTGGTGCCGAGGTCCGCGGGGCGGTCCTCGCGCCGCTTGGGCTTGTCCAGCACGAAGTTGAACACTCGGCTGTGGCGCGGGGACGGTATGTGCGGGCTGGGCGGCAGGTCCAGCTTCAGTTTATCGCGGGTGTGGCGCAGCCCCCCCAGGGCCTCGCCCCCCGGGGAACTCGGGCTCACTGACTCGCTGGAGCTGGCGCTGTCCACGGGTCTCCACGTGAGCTCCGTTTCTGGCAGTTTCTTCTTGAAGTCATCGTCTGTGGTAGAACCTGGCGTGATGTCTTCGACTCCCGAGTCTGGCGTCGTGAAGTCCAGGGAAGGAGTGCGGGTCTGCATGAGTGTGGTGGTGGGGAGTGGAGACGGTGGGGGTGGGAAATCTTCCGTAAGGTCGTCGGAGAGGTCTCGCTCGAGGAGGGACGGCTTCACGTGCTTGCCGGGGAAGAACTGGCTCGTGGTGGACATGATGCCCAGGCTCTCGAAGGGTCGCGCTGATGACGAGATGAAAAAGTCTTCGTCGTAATCTGTAGGTAATGTTAAAATGAGAAATTTGATAAGATTAAATATAGATTGTAAGTGAATAACTTTGTTTTAACACGCACCAGCTCCAAAAGCGATTCCAGCTCTGAGAGGGTACAGGTCCAGTGGACTGGGCGCTCCAAACAGTTGACCGTAACCCAGCTCAGCTTCTTCAGCACTGGTTGGGTCCCATTCTGAAAATTTTAGCAAAGTTATTTGATGTTTTGGAAATTTTCTATCTCTAGCGATACATTTATCATTGTAAGCTCACGGAAAAGTTGCAAGAAAAGTAGTAGGATCAAAGTTCTTAGATTAAAATTTTGGCAGAAAGTTCACCAGATCGTACGCAATAGGTATTGGTGCTGATAGCTGATAGATATTCGTTGCTAGCCTTTTGGGTAAGGTATTTGAGGATTACAGGTAAAGTGGGGTTATTGGGAGTCTAAATCTGGGGAAGATTCGGGCTTACACTAATCTCAGTCACACAGCAAAATTCTGTGCACACACTGTGAGGCCGTGTTATAATTACGCTCCAGCCAGCCTATTCGTGTCGAAGCTTGGCTCTCTATTCATATTTGTGAAATTTCACATGCACATTTACTATTTGTTCACAGAACAATAAAATCATAATGCAGTGATAACATACCGGAGTAGGTGGACAGGTCTGGTAGGTAGGCGGCGGGGGAATTCGCCTCGATGTCAGCCACCTCGCGGGGGTACTCGTATACGCAGTGGTACTTCTGTCGCTTGAACACCACGCGCTTCTTATTGTCCTGTAACACGCGCCCACTTGATTTACTCAACGACTGAAGTTGGGAACATCACTGAATCGATAAACCGATTGTTGTCTTGAAAAACAAAAGATTTATGATGTAATTGCAAAAACATTTATTCTTTTTAATCAACAGAGGTACTTTAGAAACACTGTAGTGTGTCGAAATAGTAAGGATTACAATAATACTGATGAAATAATCCTAATTGTATCACCGCCTGCCAAAAGTATAACAATTGCATACACAATCAATGTGTTTATAAATACATATTTCATGTGTTTAGATGAGTTTCCTTCCTTATTTTGACTTCTCGTATTTAGGTAACTAATAATTTAACACATAAATGTTAACATTATTTTACAGAACGGGCCAGTTTAGAATTTATTTGTACGGGTATTATATAATGCATATTTTGAGACACAGAACTCTTAAAAATATTTTTCCTGACGTTTTGCAACATTTTACGTTCTTCTTTCAAAAAGTTATTACATACCGGTGTAGTTTGCTCCAAGCTCCTTAGGGATGACTTCGAGGGTGCTGCGCGACAGTCCCACGAGGAAGGCACGAACTCCACCTCATCACCTTCGGAGCCCGAGCCCGAGTCCGCAGACCCGTCCGAAGGCCCGGAGCCCCCCGACCCGCCTGGCGGGGACCCGTGGCGCTCCCCACCACTGTTGTTGCGAGACTCGCCTGTTCGCTGCTGTGAGGAAACATAAGTACTTTAAAAATTAAGAACTAAAGCTGCAATTTGAATGATGAGAACAATAGCGTTTTTGAGAATTATGATTATGGTAACTATTTGAAGAATGATGATAAATACTGTTGCTTATGATCTGTTTGACAAAATGTATGAAATTCACAAGATGTATTGTAATGGACACAAGAACACAACTACTGAAGTGGTTCTATACAATTAATGAACTACGAAAAATAAGGAAATAAGGATGCAAACCTGGAATCAATTACAAAACAAAAAATGGGTTGGAATGCTGATTAAATAATGAAGAAGTGATATTAATGAGGTAAAATGTGAATTAAGCTAAAATATCATTTGTCAAAATAAATGTTCTTTTGTTCTAAGAGTACATTGAAAGCCAAAGTTTGAATTATAAATTCTACTATAACGAAATCATTAATCATAAAAAAATATTTCAAAGTATTGGCCGAGTTATAAATATAGTACATACATTAAAATCACTTTACAGATGTGGGATATTTTTATGTAAACCGAAATTGTCTTAACAAAATTAATATCCTTGTAAATCACCAAAAATATTTTAAGATAACCATATATATATACACTTAACTTTTCATCACTATTCTTGTTGGAAATGTTAGAAAAATAATAAAAAACAGCCCACAAACCAAACAAAATTGAACCAACATTCCGTCAAGCTCGCGACAAGTACCAGGCGCGCATGAATGCATAGATGTATATTATAAAGGGCACAAACTTACGTGGTCGAAGTGCGTGGATGGTACGACTGAGGTCTCGTGGCCGTCGCCGTCCTAGCACACACACAGGTAACGTCACATGCACACCACACCGACACCCATATTTATATACATGTACAGTCTGTGGCTCGGGGAGAATCACGTCATCGTATATGAAATTATTTTATTGAAAAGTTGACCATGTCGATTAGATAGTAAGTTCAGTTTTCTTATATTTTGTCCTGGTCTATTGTTCAATATCAAATAAACTGTAAGCACATTACGATACAGTTGATATTCGTTTAAGTTTATTCGGATGTTACAAATATTTATTAGTTTATATTTTGAATGACGTCATATCTCCCTTAGGCCAGAATAAGCAACCATATTCAGCCATACCAATGGTTTCGTGTACATATGTATAAATATAATTAAGGGAGCTAAATTGTATAGACTTAAAGGAAAGCAAGGAAAATGTTTAATTTAATTTAAATATGCATTATAAACTCTTTGGTCGTTCAACTTTATGGCTTAGAAAAAAGTTTTGTGTGAAAAAATCCCACACATAGTTTACTAGCGGCCATTACGTGCCTGTACAGCGTTTTTGATTAATAAAATTACATGCTCTATGCGTCACGAATTCCTCTTAGAAACTTATATACTATTTTCATGATCCTTTCTATTAAACTTCTAAGCTATAAAGTTGAGCATTATTATTACATATTTCTAAGTACAATCGACCAATTTGAAAACTGACTGAGTAGAACTTTCAACTTTTCTTTTTAATGTGGACAGAATTATTCTGAATAAAAGTTTGGACTGAATTTATAATTAAATTTGTCTGAAATATCTGAAACATGATTACCAATTTTAAATGGGCATAGATTTCATGTGTTGCAAAAAGAAACATTTGGTGTTTTTAAAGTTTTAAGAAGATTCGCCATAAAACTGGGTCACGATTCAAACTTGTCGAGTGTACAAGGAAGTTTACCAACATGAAGCAGGGACAGAATCTACAGAGTATCCACACCATTACATTAGACACATTTTGTATATTAACAGTATTGCTTTAGTCACAGCAGCGGATTCTCACATCGGAAATACTAAACATGGAAATGCCTGGTTGAGTGAGACTTTATATGTTACTGCAGGTTTATTTTTATTAATCATCGAATAAAAACAAACGAATGGTATTTGTGCCTAACGAGAGTTTTCTTTGCGTTAATCGGATCGACATGTTTATGACGTGCGGCGCTCTGATTGGTCTGCTAAAAGTTAGCCAACCAATCACAGGGCTAAACGCGGTATCGTTTCAATCGCGTTAATATAATGGAGACTCGCACTAGGCACTCAGGATATAATTGATCTCCACTTTCACAAAATATGATCTAATCTAATAGATCACACAACAAAACCATGATCTATATTAAAACATGCTAATTTTGGAAACTGTTCATATTTACAGTCCACACACCACACACAGACCCTTAAAGCACTAGAATAAAATAACCTTCTCCATTTTGAAGTCTTAACAAAATATATGTACATACTCCAGTGTGTATTATCTACACTTTTCTATGAAATGCCTTTATTAATATTTCAACTTAATGATTTTGTCATAAAGTCAAAAATTCAATCAAAAAACTTGAGCGATAAGACTTCATTCCCGTGATGGCATCTGTACGAATCACCTTAAACGCGTGCCTTAACGTATGTACATGTATGAAAGCAAGTCTCACCCACCCAAAGCACTGAAACCGCAAAAAAGGTTAAGGGCTCACCTTCCATATGAATTCTCCACTCGAAGAGTTGCTGGTATGGGAGTCGGAATCACTATCCCATTCTTTCAGCAACTCAGCGGCCGTGTCTCTCTTCTCAGGACATTCTGGTGAAGTGGGCTCCGTCGGAGAGTCTTGAGTGAATGACGTGCCCAATATTTCTGTGGCCGGACCTAGAAATTGCAAACAGAATATTATTTTCAGTTTTCATTAGTTTTAGGGACTTTGGTCTTTTTAGTTAAAGGAATATCCATTAATTTTTGATTTGGATCTTTTTTAGACAAAATAAATGATGTAAATAAATGGTGATAAATCAAAGTTTCAATTTAAGAAAATTTTAGTTAAGGTTTTAATCTAGTTATTTCTGTATAATAAAGTAAATGAATTATAAAATACTCACCAGTGAATCTTATATCACTCAGCAACGGAAAATACGAGTCTAGTTGACAGAAATTCTTCTCGTTCTGCAGGAAATCTTCCGTGACCACAGTCATCCTCCCGTTCTCCTCCGTCACTCCGTTAGTCAGTTCTCCGACCTCTTGTAGTTCATCCTTTATGCTCTTCGACCCTTTCGGACTCTCGAGGTCTTTCAACAAAGGGACGACACTAGATTTTAGACTCTCTGATGCATTTTCTTCGCTCGGAAGTTCTTCGGTCTTCGGGTCTTTCGTTTCATCGTCTACATTGCTCTCGATCAGTTCTTCGAAGGTCTCGTTCAAGAAGTTAACCGTAGCGAACTTCTCGCTACCCCCGTTGCAGTTGACTTCGTTCACTGTACGACTCTTGTCGTTCGCTCTCGACGTGTTAGGCGCACTGTGGATCTCTGTTACAAATATACTGTTCGCTGTATCTGTTTTCTCAGACACAGTTTCTACTTTCGGTGACAAATGGTCACAGTTTAAAAGATTTTCCTCTTCTTTCAGATCCAAACTTCCGTTGATTTTGTGCTCTAGTAGTTTTCCAAAATCGTCGTGCGCTTGCAATCTACTAGTGTGAGGGTCGTGAGCATGGTTGCCCTCAAATGTGTCCACGTCGGTCGAGTCGTTACTCCTACTTGGACTCTCCCTGAACGCGTCCATCGTAGTTTCGGTAATGATAATCGAATGCGGTTGCTCGGTCTCATCGTCAGTATCGAAATTGATTAAAAAATTGGGTTCTCTAAAATTAACTAAGCTGTGAGATTCGTTAAAATTCGTAACGATAGGCGGACTCGTGTGAGATTGCGGCTCATTCGGGATGGCTCGGCTTCCTGACTGACTAGTCTGGTCCAAGTCTGTGGGTAGCGAACCCATTGCCAGTTCACTGGACATCCTCTCGATCTTAAGTAGCAGGGAGCTGGCGTCTATCAGCGACGATAGATCTTGTGGACGGCTTCTCACAGAGGTCTCAAATTTCTGAAAATCCTCTGAACTAATTCCACTCTCCATGCTCTGACTAGACTTATCTTTCGAGTTTACGTCTTGTGGTTTAGATAGCGCCGAGTTTTCAAAGTCAGAATATGTCGGCGTACGTTCGGACACAGCCAAGCTGTCACGGTTGCTGTTCCTGCTTAAAGTCTTGCTCTCTCCCTCTAGCAAGATTTCCGTGTCTTGGTTAGTGCCCTCATTGCTAACGTTGGAGGACAAGTCTTGCGGCCTGACTTCGACGGACTGCATGAACGCCTGGAAGTTTGGTACATTCACGCTATCTTCCGACGACTCCTTGCTATCTGTAGGGAGATGCATAGGGATTCCTTCAACATTATCTGCATCATCCAAGAGGTCAGTAAGAGGGGTGCTGGTCACTGACGGCGCCATATTTTTGTAATTGTAGTTCGGACTGTTCGTGTCTACTAAAAGGACTTCACTGTCGGACTGGTTCGTCTTATTGTGGCTGTCTATTAGATTGTCCTGTAGGCAGCTAATCTCGATACTTTCTAATTTCTTGAGGGAAGGTTCCGTGGCAAGCTGCGGGCTCGCGATATCAACCTCCTTGTCCTCGACTCGGTTGGGAGGGGTAATGTCGTTATCCTCGGGCATGGGAGATCTCCTCACCAACTCTGGTTGGGCCACCTTCCAGTCGTCGAAGCCCGACACTACCTCCGTAGTACAGTTGGAGTAGGAAGGCATGCCCGACATCAGTGTACCGTATGCCAAGTCTTTAGTGGTGTTCTTAGTGGAATCATTCAGGTCGGACTTGGTTAGTACGGACGGTGTGGTACCAGCATTATCAGTCTTCACTTTCGTATACGTGTAGTTGTCGTTGGCGGTGATTGAGTCCGGTGAGAAGGTCTCGCAGGCCTCCGACTTGCTGTCGTGTATAATGTAGGTCGAGCAGTGGCTGACTTCTTTCTCATCGTCGTTGTGAGTTAACGTGTCCGTACTTTCGCTGTTCTCGTCCCTCTCCGGCCCGAACTCGGGCACGTCCGGGTCCATCGCAAGGTCATCGAAGTTTTCCTCGACATTGTACAGAGTGTCATTGGAGCACCACGAGTCGATGCTGGTGGCTTTGGACAGACACTGTGTTTCGGACGGTTTGGACAGCTTGGCGTCTGTGGGGAGGGTGGTCTTAGACAGAGTGGACACTCCCGTGGCATTGTCGAGGTTATCTGAGTTTTCCGGCGCTGACGTGTCGGTGGTGGGGCTCAGCAGAAAGGGCGATACTTGCGATATCCTTTCGAGGGATTCTTTCTCTTCTTCCTTAGTGTACGTTTTGTCGTCAATCGGTGAGTTGGCGTCGCTGTCGGGAATTAGCTTTTTCAAAGGGCTGGCGTTCAAGCTGTCTGCGCTCATTGTAATTCTGTAAAATATATAATTTATAGATTAGAGCAGACCTGTGCTAGAAGCTCTGTAGTGTCGAATGACGTGTTGTAAAATAATTGCTGCTATTTTACAAGCATAACGTTTTAATTAACACTGCATAATTCTGTAATCGAATACCTCGCATGACGGGTCTTCAATGAGTCGATTTCAACAACCTATTAGATAATGAGGATTATCATACGCTTTCGTTATATGTTAATCATTTAAACTATAATTATGTGATATTTAATTGTCATTATGATTCATGCGGATGATTTAATAAAACGGTTGGAAATATTCTCATAATGGTTGCTTAGTTCAAAATATGATTTACAAACGACTTGAACCGTCGTCTAACGAGCGACATGATCAAATGTTGAACACGAATTGAAGAACTATTGCATCGTGTAATAACATCGAAGCGCTGGCCTTAGTTCACCGGACTTTCGCCTTCCGTAACAATTTTAGTTTCCTGAACAAATACTCACTCTCTACTGCTGCCAAGGTCGAGATCCCTGTGCAGCGTGTAGGTATTATTCTGCGACTGATCGCGCGACGGGTTGCGCGATGGTTCGCGCGACTGTATCGTGTATGTCTGGGCTCCCGTAGGTAGCTCTGTGACGTCATCAGTGCTGTTGTTGCAAGGCTCAGGGTAGCTTTCTGACGATTCTGTGCGGGTCGACAGGTTCCCTATTATGAGAGGAATAAGGGTTAGATTTGTGAATTACTTTTTATTGAATAACATTTATTTTCTTGTGAGATTATATTGAAGTGTTCATGTTCACAAGTTCATGTTTTCGGGCCAGACTGCAAGATGATGGGTAAAGCATCAAAATCATTGATTAATATAATTTAATTGCAGAGAATTGACTATTGTTCTCCTTTGATTTTTCAATTTTAATGTTATTCATTGTTTTTTACATCACCTAAGAGACTTGTGCCATTATATATTAATCAAATAACGGATGATTGACGTTCTCAGTAGTAATATATGCCATAAACACAGATAAAATTACTTTCATGGACATAATTACGTGTGATATGAACTGACAGTATTGATTTTAAACATTGTTATGCCATTATGCAGCTGGTCGCCTGAAGGCCATTTGTAAAATATTTACGATTTCCAATTACTCATAATTCTTTTTTTAAAGTAGTACATAAACGTAACGTTAGGACTGTCTCACATTTGGATCACCAACTATCAACAAAGTGATTCATTATACCTATCAAAAAGAAAAGAGGGTCTTTTCATGCCTACGAAGATAGGCATTAGTTCAGATAGTAGGTAAATAATGTGCGGCGATAATAGAAAGAGCACACTCTTCCTATTTAATCTTTCAATTGTGGTAATTATAGACATAATAGAAGAACAACAGGTGCGCGAAGCATTCCCTTGGCATTCGTGACAAATTAATAGACTCGCACTCCTCCAAACACCACAAAAGATGAAAAATTTCGAAAATCTTAAAATACAATATTACTCCGATTCCTAGCGTGAACATAAATTTTGCTAATACTAATATAATAATAATAACACAGAGTTTGAAAAACGGGCACTTTAACTTCCAGTACAGCACGTCTTAAAGGAACAAGTAATTTACTTAAGTTTTATCATATACTGACATCAAATACAATATAAATTGTTTATGATTAAATAAATAAATAACTAAATATATCTCATTATATAAAAATACTAGCTTTTTCCCGCGACTTTGTTCGCGTAGAATAGTGACTTTCTGCAGATTTATGGTTTAAAAACTATGCTACCAAATTTCACACAAATAAGTTCAGTAGTTTAAGCGTGAAGAAAAGACAGACAGACAGACAGACAGAGTTACTTTCGCATTTATAATATAAGTTTGGATTAGCTACTTACAATTCATATCATTTTCGTACGCAGAGAGTTGCTGGCCGGTTTCCTCGGCGATGGGGCTGAGCGCGCCTGGGTAGCTGACTATGAGCTCCGGCGGCGGGGGCAGCTCGGCAGACCATTCTTGTTCGCAAGGAGGTTCTATTGCTGCTACCTATGGTAAAAACGCCAGTATTTTTTGTAATGAAACTGATGAAAGGGGGCGTCCATAAATTACGTGAGATGTTTAAATGGGGGGGTCAAGTCAAATCTCATCTAATCTTACGTTGGAGAGACAGAAAAAACAACTCTATTGGTCTATTTAATCCAGATTGTACATGCTTAAGATTTAATCTTAAGCGTAATCGTAGTACGATTTAGATCATTTACTAACAAAAGGACGATGCAAATTTGTTTTTTACTTTTTACAATACCAATCCATGGCGTTTACCTAAGAAACTCACATTTTGAAAAATCACGTGAGATTCGGGAATGGGGTAGGGTGTTGAATAAAATCTCAAGACATCTCACCAGAGAGGCAGGGAGGGGCAGAAAATTTAAAAAAACACCTCACGTCATTTATGGACACCCATTAACACGCACACAAATAATTGATATCTGTTGTTCTTTGCATAAACTGCTGAACGGTTTTGAAACTAAACGCAAAAATAATGTTGTGTTACTGTGTTTCGTGTTTTCAGTGTTTAGTAACTAATTCTCACACAAAATGAAGTAAATAAAAAATATAGTTAAAATCCAACTCTTAATAATACCTGTATTGTGTGTTCAATCATAAAATCCAAACGCATTTTATTAACACGTTAAATTGTCACTAAAATATAGTAGCACAAAAATATATGAGATGCTTGCTACTTAATTTCACTGTTTATTATTGAAAAGAAAGCAAGACACAACAAGTTTAGTGTTATCGCCGGCATAAGGATAAGTGGTTGAACTATTTCCCGAGATTACAAGCTACCGAGCGATACGCTGACATACACTGATCGATAACTAGGTAATCCCAGATAACAAGTGTATTTCTTTTTTTCTCGATACCTCACAGGAATAGGCATTGTGTTAAACACAATTATATACTTTCATGAGACATTTTATCAAGTAACGTGCAAAGAAAAATGGACTTAAATGATACAGAGATAAGTGACGCAATATACAATGTTACGATACTGACCTGTGCCAATGGCAACTTCAGTTCTAGCTCATTCCTCAGCGCTTTGACGCATTCCTCATCCAAAGTTAAGTCTTCCCTCATATCCTCCGCGCACCCTCCGTTCCCTGCTAAATAGGACTCGGGCAACGCATCACTTTCCCTCAGTAACATCTCTTCATCAGAAACGAGACCTTCCACTGTTAAAGGTCCTGAATATTCAATGTTCATGTTATTTTCATTCTCAGCCATCGCTAATTTTGATGTTATTTGTAACTCTATTTGGTTGAGTTCTATCTCTTTCTGAAGCGAGAGGTCCGGTTCTTGTAGCGGCGCCGGTTCAGGAGTGAGGTCGATGTCCACGATGTACTTTTGCTGTGATGTCGAAGCTAGGAATACTCCAGGGGAGTTCGGTGGTGTTAAAGGAGAGACTCTCTTCTCCGTACCCGAGTTGCCACTGGGCGCGCTTGGAGTTTCTGTTTGAGGGTCCGACTGCTTCTCACTCAAACTCTGAACATCGTCAAATTGTAAATCATCGTGCACTATATCAGGAACCTCGTTCAGAAAATTTCCATCCCTCAAGGGCGACGGTGTTTCGAGATTCATTTCACTGAAGTTTGATGAGAATGCTAGTAGCTCTTCCTTAGGTAGATCAACTAATTCGCCCGATTTCGCTCCTTTGAACAGCTCTAATGTGCAATTTTCAAAAGGGCCTAGCACTACTGAACTGTTTTCATCATAAGTGTCAGTATGGTGGCTCTTAGTTGGAGATTCAAAAGGGCTCATGCTGTCAGGAACATATCTTTGTTCCAGTTTAGTTAGAGAGACTCCCATTCCTAAGTCAGGGACTTTGGTTTCGGAGAGCTCATCCTTGATGGAATTCTCGACCATACTGTTTATTTCAGCAGAGCCGTCGCTTGCAAGAGGAGTACTAGATACCACTGCAGCATTTTGACTGTTGAAAACTTTCTCCATGTGCAAGAAATTGTCTACATCCTTGATACCAAAACTGGGAAGATCTAAGTACTCAGTTGACTCATTTTTAACGAGAGTGCATGCATTTTCTGAGCTAGAATTGTTCAGACAGGATTTGATGACGTCTCTTACATGACTATCTAATGTGTTATCACTGAGTATTTCGTTGTTGGTATCGTTAATGAGATCCATGTAGACAGTGCTGTTGTCTGACGGCATTCTTGTGTCTGCTAGGGTATTATTATCTGATCTTATTTTATCACCATCAGAATTATTTTTAATTTCGTCTTCTAGAATAGTTGCAACAGGAGCATTATCATCCTTAAGTGCTGCATTCACTGTCTCTGAATGAGTTGAACTGATTGGCTCTGCAATAGCTTCAAAGGTTTCGACACGAACAGGTTCAGTGTCATTCTCTTTCAATGCAGATTCTATGCTCACATTAGCTATAACAGAAACTACAGTTTCTTCAAGTTGATCAACTGCAGGTTTATCTGCTTGGACTATGTTCTCCACTTTGGGTGTTGGAGCATCCTCAAAGACGGCTTCTACGTTATTCTCGGGAACTTTATCATCTCTTGCTTCCATTTGCTTTACGATTACCTCATCATCGTTTTTCTCGACATCCAAGGCTAAAGGACTATCTTTATTAACATTTACTAGAATAATTTTAGCCACTTCTTCGTTTACGGCAAAATCATCAGTTTGAATTTTTTGTGGGCTCTTGTCTTGCTCTAAAGTTTCTAGCATATTTTCTTTAGAGTCGACAATAATGGGAGATGTTTCATCTAAAACTAAAGGGACGATACTTTCAACATTAGTATCAATAATATTGGCATCTCTGAGTTCATCTAGTACAGCTTTATTATTTCCTCCTTTTAGTTTCTCTACTTTTTCAGATTCAACACGCGCTAAGACATCTGCGGTCGTGTGTGCTGATAAAGTAGATTCTAGATTGTGTTCAGTTACATCTTTTGGTAATTTGCTGGCCTCAAATTTAGGTTTGACTTCATGTGATGTTGCTATCTTTCTCTCTTCCATAAGGAAATCTGAAACATCTTTCACTATATTTGTCGCAGCTTCTGTAACATATTTGGAGTTGCTGCTTGATTCTATAGTGGTCACAGCTGAGAAATCTTCACTAATATTCTTATTGTTCATAGAATCATCAGCTTCCTTGGCCACTTGTTCGACAGACGTATTAATTTCGTTTATTATCATCGCGTCTTGCTGTTTGGTTTCCTCTATACTTACAACAGGCTCATTATCTGCTTCTTTCATTGCATCTTCAATTTCATCTCTGACAGTGGCACTTTCTGTATCATTTTCTTCCTTAAAAATACTTTGTACTATTTCAGGTGGCAATTCTGGCGTTGGAGATTTAACTTCCTCTATAAAGATTGCTGGTATTTCAGTCTCTTTTGTTTCATTCAAGTTAGAGCTTTCAATATTGCTCATACTTTGTACTGACTCAGGCGTCTGTTCAGGGGATAGGAGCTCTGAGGGTTCTAAATCACTCACTTCACCTAAACTGTCCTCTTTCGAGTTTTCAAAGGCTTCAGAACTTTCAGTTACTTTTATGAGATCACTATCTAGGACTTTTTCATTATCACTATCTTCATTGTTAGCTGTTTTTTCTTTTCGCTTTTCTTCAGCCATTTCTTCTTGTGATTGTTCTACTTTACTAGTTGTTTTGCCATGTACCATTATAGGCAAGAATATATCATCTACCATTTGTTCCAGTTCGGTCTTATCTAAAGAATCCTTACTCTCTACTTCACGAGGCGTATCTTGAACCACCTTCCCTACATCATCTATTGACTTAGTTTCATTCTTAATATCAGTACTTATTTCTTTTAAGTTACTATCACATGATGTTTGACAGTCTTTAACATTCAATTGTTCGATATCACTAGCACTAGGTATTGACGCTACACATAATTCCTTCAGCTTGGGTATTTCACTATCACTACTCACTATTTTGTTATCATTTGGCAATTCTGCGTGTTGATGTACAGACTGAACTGTTTCGTTATCAACTAAAATATTGTTTGTATCGACCCTTTCCACTTCCACTTGAATTTCAATTCTTCTGACGACATCTATGTCTTTGATTGGCGTATCTGGCGTGAGGTTCTCCAGCGTGTGCTGGCTCGTGGTGTCTACCTCGCTGTGTCGCTCGAACGAGTGGCTCAGCGTGCCTATAGTATCACGGTCGAGCTCGTCGTCATCGCCAGTCTCAGTTTCCTCTGACTTGGAACTAAATCCAGTATCTAGAATGTTCTGGAAATTCGTGATACCAGGGGATTTGACCATACTGGATTGCATTGGGTAATCTTTCTTACAGTCCAAGCTTAGATTGTCTCTAGAGGGACTAGCTTGGTGACTGGACTCTGAACTTGAAGTTTTTTCTGAGTTCAATATATTATCGAGATTCTTGATGACGTCACTGACATCTTTGTAATAGCTGACGTCATCCGTGCTGCCAGCAATGATATCCTTGAGCCAAGGGTCCATGGAGGCGTCGGAGCGGTCCTGCTCCTTCTCCCTGGCATCTTCGAGACTGATGTTGCCTTGATGGCATTCGAGGGTGGCAGTCTCGTTGTGGGTGAGGTAGATGTTCCTGACATCTTCTAGCGAGCCGTGGAGGTTGGTCAAGCTTTCGGATTTGATTTGCACGGACATGTCCTTGTCGGAGATGATGCTGCTGGAGCGGGAGACGGCGGTGTCCATGTGGACGACGAGCGCGGCGGCGTGCACGAGCGCGGCGTGCTCGTCGTGCTTGGGGATGGAGTTGGGCTTGAGGCGCTGCCAGCGCTGTTCGAAGTCGTGCTGCGCGTGCGCCGGCCCGCCCGCGTCGCGCCGCAGGTGCAGCACCAGCTCCACCACCTGCGCCGCCGTGGGCCGCGCGCCGCCCACCGGGCTCCAGCATAGCTGCATCACTTGGTAGCTGCAACAATGCACACGTTTTAAACTATTTACATACATATAAAAATCAATGACACTTTTCGTTCTAATGTTATAACTCAACAAAGCCTTTACCGATTTGGCTAATTTTGGTCTTGAATTATTCGTGGAAGACCAAGGAAATTTTAAAATGCCAAATCAAATAGTTATATTTGAGGCGGTACGGAGTTCGCCAGGTCAGCTAGTATATGTATATATGTATTAATTATCTCAAAAAAAGCGTAAACAAAAGGCAACATTATTGAAAAAATATTAAATCTCAATATGGTAAACGAATTATAGTTTGATATCAACATCTCTGTATTTACTCACAGATGATTCCTATAAGGACAGGGCAGGTCCGGCAGCGGCGGCGGCAGTCGGTCTGGCGCGGCGCCCCACGCACACACCTCCCACATTAACGTGCCCAGACACCACGATTCACTTTGGGCCTGCAATCAATCATTTTAAAAGTATTAAGAAGTTATTCTCACATAACAATAATCTAATTTCATCAACTCTAGAATGTTCAATTGAGATCAAAGATAGAGCAGTACTGTTGATCCATACATTTGATCCATTTAAGTAGGTTTACATCATGATAATACATATCACAAGACATCCTATCCTATCCCCAAAGATTTCCAGATTGGAAATCTTGATAACTTTTACTATTTATAATAAAAAAATCCAAACGCCAGAATTACACATTAATATTAATTCCTGTATAAACGTAGCATATTACGTACATTATATACAGGTGGGTGCGCCCTTGTCTCTGGCGCGGGCAGGTCGTAAGGCGGCGCGGCGGACCCGTACCGGCCCAATACCGCGCGTGCATTGTCTGCCGCCCCCCGGACTAGCACTGAGCCACACCATAAGTTGCTGTAACAAAGTTAATTTTCATTAAACGCATTTTCCAAAGTATACGTAACATTGGGATTGCAGAACCTTTTCATCATGATCACCTAAAGAAATTACATTTCAATGAAAATAAAATATTTATCGGTTGCAATAAATATTGCCACTAAGCATTAAAGATATTGAAAAATAAAACATTCAGTTCATTATATTATAAATACATACCCGTACAAAAAGCCTCGTGAGTGCAGGTGCGCGAGCGCAGAGCTGACGTCACACATTAGCCGGAGGGGTACACCAGCTTCATTCAGTATGGCCATCTTGGGACGGTTCATTATCAAGTACTGTTGAAGATCCTACAAATAATAATAAATAAGAACATTTAAAAAAATTCTTAAAAGGCGTCCAATCTCATTGGAGACTAGACAACAATACAGGATATATATAAAAATGTTAATGTTAAACAATTTGTATTATTGAATTCCTTTTTAATTTGAATTTAATGTCATTCAATGCAAACTATACACATGTACAAATAATGCCATTCCAGACATACTGCTACCATGTAATCAATAGAAAACATACTTCATAAATGCTTACCATAGAACAAAGTTCAAATATAAGAATCCAAGGGTCTTCCTGAAGGCATTTGGTGATGAAAGCCAGTATGTTCTCATGTCGTACGTCGCGGTACATTTTAGCTTCGTCCAAGAAGCGCGCCTTGTCTTCTAAGCTGGCATTCTGGTTGAGGATCTTGACTGCCACTGTGCTCGTGGACCCGTTGTCGTCGACCTCACCTTCAACCACCTAGAGAGAGAGAAAAAAAGATTAGTTATATTCAGATTTTTTAAAAGACATACGAAACTTGTCGACATGTAATTAATTTAAGACAACTTCGAGTTTATTTTATGTTAACGTTATTGCGTTCAGCCCTTTGATTGGTTCCTTATCTCAGAGTAGGCCAATCAGAGCAACGAACGTCATAAATATTTCGAATACGTTAACGGAAACTCGCACTAGGTTCACTAAACGTATCCGAGTTAATTCACGATAGTGATTCGTTATTTCCTCATTACGATTGCAATTTTCCATTAATTTGTCTTTTGATAGTTAATATTACTAACCTACCTACACAAAAATTGACAAATATGACCTATTTCTGAATATCTTCCTCAACTAAGCTACAACTATCGGTTGATTATAAGGTTCCGAATTGATATAATCGAGACATAATATTACTATACAAAACAAGTAGTTATTTTGCAATAAACATCATAACATCGCACTTAGGCACACATATACAGGTAATCCTGTAAATAGGTATAAATACTCATCATATTCACTTAATTCCATCGTAAAACGTGACTCCATGACATCAATACAACATTAAACTAATCATACCGCACCTAGTATTTTATGTTTAGTATCTACTTTGATATAAATTATATTTTATAATGGGGAAGACCCATAGAAGATTAGAACACTATGTATACGCAGTAGGAAAACACGAGTACTCTTGAATTTTACATAAAATTATAAGTTACTAGAAGTCCAGTAGAGTAGCTATGAAACAAAATATACAATAATGTAAATAAATGAAACATTCAGTCTTCCAATTTTCAAATGCATCGTATGTTTTTTTTTTGTCAGGGGAAAATCATCAAATGACTACTCCCATCCAGGGTGTGGCGAGAGGAAGTGTCACTCTTACTGAATAACCCCCCCTCCCCACCCCCGTTCCTTCTCCTGCTTTAGGCCGAGGCCGCGGTGCCTCATTGTGCTTACCCCACAACCCCGGATAAGCATGGCCCTATATGGCCCCGTCTGTGGTGGTTTATTGGCTCTTTGAAGCATAGGCGCATGGTTAATGGAGAATTTGCTTTCATTTTGTAGCCAAGTCTACTGCGTATTATTAAAAAATCTATATCATCATTAAGCTAAGGTTCAAATTAGGTGAATCAGAGCAGAATGTAGACGACGTGAGCCGCGAATCACCAACCACCTGTTTTAAACCTACATCCATCTAGAAGATTAAGCAGACCAGAGTAGACTTATATCTCTGTCCTCTTCGCTCTGTTCCACTCTTACAAAGTGGAACCGCAGCTTTATTAAATGAATTTATATAGGGTAAATGTTCAGAACATTTGTATAAATAAAGGCGACAGACGTTTCCCAGGCGATATCATGAATAAATAACACTAGAAAATGATCACCCATCCGTGCACATAGTAACAAAATGGGCTTGGCTTATAGAACAATGGATGTCATATAGTTGTCCTTGTGCTCATAATCTGCTACATAGATCTAGTAATACTAGTATTTCTAAAGTACTTTTCGTGAAAATAATAATTAATTTTGAAAATAATGCTATTTGTTTTATTAGAAGCCATTTTTGCTTCATGCAAATATGTTTGATACTTACTCTTCCAAACCATCCTCTACCGATCTCTCGAAGATACTGCAATCGGTTGCGCGGGAAATCATCATCGCCTGGAACAAGTTATGCTAAATTAAGTACATTTAAAATCAATTGGCTGCATGTTTCTTTGTACAAACCAGCCTTTTGAAAACATACGAGGGTCTGAGCGGACGCGAGGTTTATGCGCGAAAAGCATAATAAAACACCATCTTATTAATATTGTAAATTGCTTCTTAAAAGAAAACCTTGATGAAATTCTTCACAGCATACTCATACTTTTATCTATTTCTGTTTGTAGACAATGACATGCATCTAATATAAAACCACGCGCCTGCACCCAAACTTTATTGTTCGTATGTTTCTATACTTAGCTTAGCAGTGATAGACATCGGTCGGAACTTTGTAATGCTCGAACGATAACAATGGTGTACGATTTAAACTTTAAAAGGTCTTGCGTCTACAATACAATACATTCAAAATCTGATCTAAATCCCACGGACAGAAGGTTGAAACTCGCAGTCAACGGGTTATGTATTGGTAAGTAGGCCTAAGCAGCTCTGAATTACGGATTACGGGACTGGGGCCTTAATATTTAAGGCTTTTAAGTTTGCCAATTTATTTCCCTCGAGACGAGGATGGATGACAATTTTTGACGCTTTGTAGGCGATTTCAAGTGAATTAAATGGTCGTTTTATCAAAAGTTATTTCTTTTTAAAGGTCGAATTCGGCCGAAGGGTGGATTAACCAAGCTCTTATCTTTTTAGAGGTCCTATCACGACTTTTGTGGCATTTCGTTTGCTTGAAAGATTTATCTGAAGGATGTAAATTTTAGTAGCAAAGTTTGAAATACTTGATATTATTTTGTTAGATTTTGGAGTATTAGTTGTAGTACAAGCACTCACCAAACCAATCAGCACAGTGCTCCAGTGGGTCCGCAACACGTATCCCGGTGGGCAGGGGTTCGAATTCGACCACCGACTCCCTGCTGACTCTGTTCCTCTCCTCGTTCTCGCTCACGATGTACGCAGCCGCATTGTTGTTGGCAATGTTTTGCATCTCCCGGAGAGATATCGGCCCGTTGTTGTTGTCTTCACTGATGTTGTTGTTGACGGGCTCCACGAAGCCCGAGTCGGGCGGATGGGCTCGTCGACCATCGTGCAAGTGTGTCGCGCTCGCAGTGAACAACTGTAGAATTTTAAATTTCTTTTAATATTTGCTTAGAAGAGATGAGTAATTTTGTAAAAATAATATTATTAGATAAATTTCTAACTAAATTAGACAATATTCTTGCTGTTTAACATATCTTTGTATCATAGAGATGCCCGACTAGTTTCAAGTCCAGCCGGAGCTTGTCTCATTCGTAAGCGTGAGTAAGCTGCATGTATATTATCTAATTGAAATAAGTATGGTTATGACATAAATCTAATTTATTGGATTGCGAGATGTAAGTACTAAATCTGTAATTAGTGATTCACTATGTTAATGATAAACATAAAAAAGGATTTGTAAACTGTAAATAACACATCATGCAGAACAAACAAGAATTATAAGGACATTATTTTCATTTAGTATTAAACATGTGACAAAACAAAACATGATTTGAGAATTCAGAATGAAATCCTATACTCCGAATATAAGAAAACCGCCACCAAAAAATAATCTAATAGCTAAAGTAAACGTAACAATGGGACACACACAACTACATCATCTACTAAGTACCTGATTGTCCGCTCCTTCGTTCGGCTGGCGACAAGAGAAAACAATGCATCAGACATTTGATCTTGTTCATATAGAGGTATAATAACTATTTTGTATTGTTGTACCAAGGACTGAAGATACGCTATGTGACTGAGTTCAGACGTGTTGTTACGAAGCATTTATGTTAAAGTTCCTTCACTTTTAGCGTCAAAGTCAAAAGTCAAAAATAATTTATTCCAATCAGACCCTTACAGGCACATTTGAACGTCAAACAAAATTTTGAAGATATAGTGTCAGTCTGTCGGTCAGTCCTCTTAGTGAAGCTATTTGCTCGTTCCAAAGTGTAGATTCCGATGGAGAAGAACGACCAAGAAACTCCACGGTTACTCTTTTTAAATCAGTTTCACATACAGATTCCTTTTACAAACAGTTAATTAAATTATGTGAAAACAGTGTAACACTAATATTTATTCAGAGAAATATATGATAAGTTAAAATTGCTATTTCAAAAAAATCTAGATGCGCTAGGACTGTTCTAGCCGACTTGTTTCCTAAACGAATCTATGAAAAGTCTGAAATACAAATCAGAGCTAAACTGAGGTAATCTGTAAAACAGAATGCATTACATAGTACATTGGTGTGAGCGTGGCATACTTCTGCCACGTCTTATTGGCTAATGCGATCGGACTGCAGGCGTCGCCCCTCGGATTAGCTCATCCAAGCGAATTAGTGGAACACCATTCCGATCGACACTGTGTCACTTGTAGTAATAGTTTAGCTTTGAAAACTAACATGATACTGAGTTTATTTATAATACGTATTTCTAATTTTCATTCATATTTATACCTAAATATATACGTTAGAAAAGTACGGCTACAGAAATAAGTACGTCAGTAATCCCCGCTTTTACACACAAACATAATTGGTCAATTACTGGCTGTGGATAAGAGAGTTGCAGGAAAACAGCGCTCGCTCGCTTTCACAAAGGATACTTACATATACATAATATGTACTACTTTAAATAACTAGGCCATTAGTATTACTATGCAGCCTTAAGAGTGATGTTCTAGAAATTTGAGATTCGTTTGTGGTACTACATGTCTCAAAGGTATAACAAAGCTTGTGTTGTGTTTTGTCGTGTAAGTAGGTATAGTTACCGCAACAGACCCAATCCTTCTTTGCTCAAGTACGTCATAGGTCTGCTCATTAGCCGTTCAATTTCCAAAAATAATTGTGCTTCGTAGTCGCTACTGTTTCGGTCGAATATGAACTTCTGGATTGATTAAAATACAGTATTGACACAATACCTATGACAAAGTGATGAAGAGGTAATCTACAAAACCTTTGCCCACTCCCTGTAGCTCGTAAAACAGACATGTTGTTAATATCGCGTTAAGGCTCGTACCCAATGTATCAAGTTTATTTCCAGCTACAATTTCACAGATAACTTTACGGTCTGTAGGTATACGATTCAATTCTGTGCGACCACGCCTCTCCAGAAAAATTAGGTTACGCTTCAATTTTTTAAGCGCCCGTAAATATTTCTATCTTGTGATTGCTAGGTCGGTTTTATGTGAACAAATTATATGGTTATAAATGTTAAAATTATGCATCAAAAGCAGAAAAACGTCTGACGATGATTGCATGACCTTGATTGAAGCTGTATTCAGTTTCAGGCGTGCCCTCTGACTGTGGGATCGGTGAGCACAAAGGTGTATTGTACAATGACTCCGAAGGCTTTTTTACAATAGCTAGGTCGAATGGCAGCTAAATCATATCAGTATTACAACGGTTCACCCGTATTGTTGAGCGAAATATATTTTGTGAAAATGGAAATAGGTATGCATACTGCATAATTTAAGAACCGATAAACACAGTACACAATAATTCCGAGTTTCAAAGCAAAGTTTCGCAATAAATACTATTAGAGCAACGAGACAGTCAACAAGGATGATAATAAAGATACTAATGTACGGGAAACTTTAACAAAGTTGTTAAATATGTTCGGGATGGTGCAGGTGGCTGCGAAGTACGATTTTATCTTTTCCGGTATATTTCGTGACGAACAGGTTAACAACTGGTAGCAGGTGCGCGAAACATCCATGCACTCAGAAAGGATTGAGTTTCAAATATTTTTTCTTTCACATTTAAAGAAAACGAGATTTTAAGATCAGAAGCGGTTTTTTCTAGGCAAACTGCGTTGTTGCCTAGGATCAAAACTAGGACAAACCATCATAGTATAGAGATTAATCATTATAAATCACTGAAGCCGGAAGACGTCCATTTGCAGAACTCGGGCCCTCTCGGCTCGACACGATTGATTCAAAGCCGCTTTGAGCTGAACTCTGTCTATTTAGCGAGCATATGTAGCTATAGTTTTTCTTTGAAGGAATACTTGGGCTTAGAGACTCACTTAGTCAGTTAGATACGTTAAGCTGTCAGTATGTCTGGTGGAAAGTAGAAGTAGGCAAAAGTTTACATCAAGAATTGATATGTAAAACAGAAACCGGCCAGCGATACCTAAAGGTAAACCCTTTTCTAGAAAACTTAACTATTATTATGATTAGCAATTTAAAAGGATAAACTTTAATTATATATGGAAAACTATTCGTGTGAAGGTATTCGGGGACAAAATTACTCCTCTATTACACGGTATACCAATACTTGGAAGGCGAGGTTTTCATTAAGGCAATCGTGCTGCATCTCGCGAGGTGTCACACGCAACAATCGTGTGAACTGGCACGATCACTCACTGTTACTTGTAATCTCATTAGCTACAATTTATTCTTAACAGCGTGTTTATACTCAAATTAGTTTGAATAATGAGTCGCTGAAGCGTTTAGTTTCATTAAATTCACCTTATACGCTAGTCTCTGTTTTCAAAAAAAGGACTTTTTTTCTTCTCATTCATTCCGAAATGATGACCAAGTTACTGTCAATGTCTAATGTAATAATAAATTTAAATTAACTGGTACTATATCTTCTTTATGTTACCGAAGTGAATAATGTTGTGGTTACTTTTAAACGCTGTCTAATAACCTGTATCGTTTACAGAGAGATACGAGAAACTGTTTAAACAGATCGTGAATTCGCAACTATAAAAGTATACCGCGAATCAGTTCGTATTGTGTCCAATTCAAACGACCAACACGCTCGGCAGCGCCACCTGCGTTTAATTACTATAAATGACGTAAGTTCAAAACTTACGCGACCCGTTGTTAACAAGATAATTGTTCGTGTATGTGTGCGTGACGAATGTACTCGCCGGATCGTATTACGATTCATGTTATGCAGTTCATCGCGGGTTACGTCAAGGCTTGCAACGACCGTTTATTTTTAATTCGCACTCTCTGTACACCGGCCTTCTTCCGGACATTGTTGTCATATTATTGTGAATGGTTTATTTTTAACTTAGCTATAAATTGTGAATTAGCAATGAGCTCTTCGTATATCGCATTGAACCTGACAACTTTTATGTCAACTATAATTCGACGAGTATTTAACAATCTCCTAGATTTCTTAAAACAACTAATACTGTGGTCAAATGGCAAGGTCTTCGCCTTCGCTATAGATACTAAGTGGGAATTCCACTGTAAACTTTCTATTGTCAGAAGAACTGTCACATCTACTGTAGCATCTTCAATACTCAATCGACAGCAAAGAAATAGAAACAAACATTCAAGGAAACCCATGCACAATTGCGCAACAAGCTATAACAGAACATAATATGCATATAAAAAACGTTCCCTGTCGCCGCAGCAACAATGGGCGACAAGTCATAAGAACACGAGTCCCACACAATGAAGTTGTAAACTTTATAGCCGAGTCCGCAACTCCACACATTGTTTGATCCGAGCCCAGTTAGGGAAAGTGAATGATAACGGTGTTTCAATGTAGCACGTCTACTTGACTGTGACAAGCTGGCGTTGGATGACTGAATCAAACCGTTGCTTCCTTGTTTTGTTAAAAGTCAAAGTCAAAGTCAAAATTATTTATTTCAATTAGACCCATACAGGCACTTTTGAACGTCAACACAACTTTAAAGATACAAAGTGTCAGTCTGTCGGTCAGTCCTCTTAGTGAAGCTATTCGCTCGTTCCAAAGTGTAGATTCCGATGGAGAAGAACGAGCAAGAAACTCCATGGTTACTCTTTTAAAATCAGTGTCACATAAACATTTTTTGATACATTATTTAGTTAGTTTGAATATGTGAGAACAGTGTAACGCGTGTATACAGAGAAACATAAAAAGAAAATAACCTTAAGGACAATAGACAGTCCGGAGCTGACCAGTCCCAATTGACGGCGCCCGTTCACGAGCATGACACGTAACACCAGCATCGCCCAACTCAACCATAATATAGGGAATCGAGCGATCCAGTGACCGTGCCACCGCCAATGTGACCTTTGAGTGAGCATGACAACTCCAAGCTGACATATGGACCGACATTCTGCTAGTCTAACTAATTTTAATAGGTTACAGGGCAC